TAATAGGTGGACTTCATAGCCAGTTGAGTGGTTCTAGTGATTTTTAAAGGGAAATTCATGGAGTTTCTAATAGACTGCTAATCTGACACTGCTCTAATCGATAGTATTTGCCTGTGATATAGTTAAGACTTTACCTGTGGTGGATGAGTCACTTCCTTGTTTATAGAGGGAGGCTCCCACCTGAGGCCTGGAAGGCTCCAAAGGCTTTGGTGTCAGGAGGGGTAAAATTGTTCTCAGCCAATCAGGAAGTGCCCTGGGGGCTTATTGAAGTTTCAACAGGAGGCTTTGGCCTCAGCTGAGTTTAGGGGCCACCATGTGAGAAGAGCACAGGATTTCAGGAAATGAGGCAGGTTATAAACTGGGGGAGGAAATCAGGCAGCACACCAGTGCTGTTTAACCAGCACCTCAGGGCCAAAAGGGGCTTTCTCATGACATTGGAAATCTGAAAGGTAGCCTCTTTTCTTTTTATATTTCGTGTGGAATAGTCTTTTTTTTTTTTTAAACCTCCTTTAGTACTTACTAGAGTTCTTGTTGAAAATACCAGACTCACTGTGCTAATGGGAGCAGGAAGGAAGAGAATCCCCAGGCCAGATCTATCATCAACATCAGTTGTACTGGGTGTTTTAACTTCTGTCTTGTTTTTTAACTTCAGAAAATCCAAGTGGTTGGAGCCCTATGCGCAGGTCAAATACACCAGGAGTGGAATTTAAAGCTCTTCCTAGACATTACAATGCCATGTTTTAGCTACATTGAACCAGAATTTTAAAGGAGAAGCACCTTAGTCCTTGGGAATCAAGTGTAGGAAAGCCACAGGAATCAAAGGGGCAAATCTCAAAGTAAAGCTACTTCTGCATTACCTGCAGAAGCCCCTTCTAGACAGAGATGGGACTCGGGTGAGGCAAGTGAGTCACACTGGCTGCAGAATTTACAGGGACATTTAATCCCAGGGCTGTGCACCTGGCTGCTTAAATTCTGAGGCCTGGGTACCTGCCTGCCTCATTCCAGTACCTGCCCTGCTTCTAGAACTTTCACCTCCTGTGTACTTTGTTTTAGAAAGAGAGGCCAATCCCTTACAATAGTCCTGCCTTAATAAATGATGCTTGATAAGTTATTGAGCTAGTAAAAAAAAGAAAAAAAGAAAAAAAAAGATCTAAGAGGTCAAAAAGGAAGTATACTAGATTTCAAAGAAATCAAACCTATAAAAAATTGAGTAGGAATCTATAGATTATTGCCTTTTCTTATTCCCCCAAGAAATAACTCTTTATAGTGCAACGGCACCTATAATCTGAATTAAGACAGGGAATAAAACATTTCTTAAGGTCTTTCTGACTTCCTCAGATATACTTGCTTTTTAGTTCAACTTTCTATCATAAACAAAAGAAATTATCCCATGCCCTTGACCTAGCTCTATGCTCAGCACATGTCTGCTATAAACATACTCTTAACAGAGACACTGACATGGATTTGTATACACAGACCAAGAGGGCAGAGCAAAAACATCTACTCAAATAAGCTTTAAAAGAGAACAGTGCCAGTGTATACTGGCCAAAAGCAGTGTCTGAGTGTTGCGTGTGGTAGAGAAATACTACTAGGCTGGAGCTTGAAGAACTAGATTTGAATCACTGAGTTTTCTCATATAACAAACGTAGGAATTGCATTATAGAAGCTCTAAGGTCCTTCAAACTGTAGGAGTCTGTGGTTCTATTTTAGGATTGGACAGACATGGAATGGCCGCCAAGGACAGAACCGCATTCAGATAGAGCTGCTTCATCAAGGTAAGGAGGAGGCCATGGGCTTCTTGTTTTCTCTGCTCATCCTAACTCTTGCTTACTCTTGTTAAAATCACCCCACCCAAACAACTGGTAAGTATTTAATCCAAGACCAGCTAAAACTGGATAAGGGTGGAGAAGCATGATCTCCCAAGACTACATTTTGTTATTTCATTCATGCAGTCAATAATTTAGCAAATATTTCCTAAGCCTTTGCTTTATGTAAGGCATGAAGAATGTACAGGTGGGCAGTCGCTGTCTGAATTTAAAATTTGGCAGGTTGTCCTGCTCAGTAAGGACACACACATAACCAAAATGGGGAAGTGCTGCAAAGTCCTGTGGCGGAAGTATAGCTTTCTTGTTTGGAATCCTGGTCTCCGGTAAAGCTATATATACCCTGGAAGAGGTTAATTTCCCTTCAGTTTCCTCATCTATAAAATGGGGATAATAATAATACCTTTTCACAAAATTGTAGAGGACTAAGTGAGAAAATAGACAAAAGCAGTTTAAAATAATGCCAGCTAGATAGTCAATACCAGGTGAATGTTAATTATTGTTATTATTGGAGTTTAAAGGATTAAGTGGTTGATTGACTGCAGAGAGGAAGAAATATTTCATAAGGAGGTAGTATTAGAACTGGGCATTGAACGATGGCAGTGAGACAGAAGGGAAGAAGAAGGAGAAAGTAAAAAGACAAAAAGAAGATAAATCCTTATTATACAGTATGTAGTTCAATTTGGCTGGAGTGGAAAATTCCTTAACAGAAACGGTGGTATGAAATGTAATTCAGAGCACCGTTGTAGAAGCGTAACTTAAATCATCTAACTTTTTTCTATTAACTCCCCTTCATCCCCAGTCATATCCTAGAAATTAACACAGTAGTTAAAAAATAGATCAAATATTATTAATATAGCTATGTAGTCAGCATTACATCCTAAATGGGTAGATACGCCTAAGCATCTAAAAAAATCTTACGTATTTTTCCTGACCCTTTGGGGAGGCAATCTGTCAAATCTGAAAAGCACTAAGAATTCCTAAGTCTAAGAATCAGAAACAAGTCCCAAGCCAGGCTAAAGTGATTTAATCCTCCGGGCCTCAACTGAATGGATAGAAGAATTACTAAAATGGTGGAAAGGCCATTCTAGGAGGGGGGGAAAAAAATTTGCCAACCTTCTGGGGTTGATCTAAGACACAAATGCAACAATGGATATGAAAGCACTTTACATACCTGATAAATATTACATAAGATACAAGGTATTTTTCCTACATACCACATATAAAAAGGCTGGAACTCCAGACAAGGTGGTGGTGGTGGTATATGTAAAAAATAAGCTTCGGTTTCAGACCGACTAGGATCTGAATCTTGCCTGGTCCTCTCATTTACTAGCTCTGTGACCTGAAGGCATAATGGCCTGAACCCCTATACTTCTTTCATGATGTTGCTAGAATTACCAAACAGGCAGTGTGAATCTTGTAATGGTGTTTCTCTTCACTGCTTCAGCCACTTAGAACCACGTGCAGGATCCAATGACATACAGTTTAGAAACTCTTCTCAGTTTCATCCTACTGTTTGCACTCTTACTCCCCCTTTTTGGATCATTCTGATTTTTTTACTTTTTTTTTTTTTTTGAAAAGTGGCCCCGTTTTTGAAATGAGGCTGTGCCTAAAAATTATTTAATCATAATTTTACCTCTTCTGTTGGGCCCTCCTTAAGAGCCCTAAACAGAATCTCTTGGACTTGACTGTATGCCCTGCTCTTTGTAAATGTTCAACAAGTGGTTCTTAAATTCATAACAATAATGAAAAGCTCATAATTTAATTGACAAATATCAGAAACATCTAAATACTGTTAGCCAAATCTAGGCCCAAGAAACACTCAATTTTATTATATATTTTCAGGACGTTTTTGATAACAGTAATATTTTTAATTTGTTGAGCAAATTATAATTTTCTATGTTTATCTGCATGTAATATATCATTTGTATATCATTTGGCCCTCACTGCATCCTTGTGAAATTGGTTTGGCAGCTATTATTTTGTTTTACACACAGGGAAACAGATCAGCAGTTCTCTCCAAGGTGTGGCACAGCCACATTAGAACCCAAGTCTTCCATTTGTAACCCAGCACTCCTTTCATTCTAATCTAGCCTAAAAGTAAAGCAACTTATTTTTTTCAAACAATATGGACATAACAATGGGAATGTCTGCCAAGAAATCATATATCAATATAATAAACATAACCATCAGTCAGCAAGATCTGTTGGAAATGTGGGCTGTGTTAATTATTTTTTAAAAATGGATGTATATAGGGAGGGCCTGGGATATTTCCACTGTATTCCTGCTATCCAACCTCACATTAGTTCTCCACAGGCCCTATATATACTCAAATATGATTATAAAGGGATTTCACTATTTAGAGGGCAAAGACAAGAAAGCAATGTCACAGAATGTGCAGTGTAACTTTGATCCGTGTACTCTAAAAAGTTATAGATGAATGGACCCCCTCTGTTTCCTAAGCCCTCCACACTCAGCCCAAGGGGTGCTTCTGATTAACAGTTGTCCAAAGCCCATTATTTACTCTTCTTACTTGGTACACAGGTCAAATACTCATTGCTAATAAAATCTGTTGGCTTTTATAATCCCTGGTGATAAGTATTATCACCTCGCTAATACCTTAGTTTGTTTTCCATGAAGAAGTCAAGAAAGCAGAGGAAGTTACCTCTTAAAAGTAACTTATCTTTGATCAGGGCTACCAGTAATTTCTGGATCACTAGCACACCCTTGAGAAACCTAAGACTGTAAGTGTCCAAAGGGCACCTCGGGCTTGGCCCACTTGACCACAAGCCCTGCTGTCAGGCAGGACAGGGATGTGGGTGTTCAGTCCCCGTTATGGGGCTGCTTGTCCATCCCGAATAGGGTGGCGGCCGGGCAGGCAGGTACCCGGCTCGCAGTGACCTTGACAGCCCCTCCACCATCTGGGGGAGGCTCAGGGTGGACACGGGATTGGGGGGAGCGGCGTGACAGCCTCTAGGCGGCCCCGGGGAGTCTCCCGGCGGACGCGGCGCGGGGGCAGCGGTCGTGTCCGCCCCTCCGCGGCCCCAGGAGGCTCAGCCGCGCGGGGGTCTCCCCTCTCTCTGGGCGCCTCCAGCGGCGGGGGACGCGGGGCTCCTCGGGACAGCAGTTGGGGGTCCTTACGCCGCGGCCGAGGAGCGGGCGGGGGGCGGGCCCTACCTCCTCCGTGATCGTGGGGCAGTAGGCGATGAGCACGAGCGTGGTGAGCAGGTTGACGGCGAGGCCCAGGAGGGTGATGGAGTTGGGGGCGAGCCACAGCGGGACCCACTGGAGCAACCAGGTCCAGTAGAGCTGCAGCGGCGGCTCGAACAGCGAGACGCCCGCGGCGCTGTAGCGGTGCTCCTCCAGCCGCCGCAGCTGCGCGGCGCTCAGCGGCTCCCCCATGGCCGCCTGCGGGCCCGGTCCCCGCGAGCGAGCGCAGCCCGCGCCCGCCGCCAGGGCGGGGAGAGAGGGAGGGCGGGGCGCGCGGGCCTGAGCCTGCGCCGGCCGGGGGCGACTAGAGGGTTCGGCCCGCAGGGCGGAGGTCGAAGGCAGGCGGGGCCTCCCCGGGTCGCTGGGCCTCCGCCCCCAGGGCAGCTCGGGGGAGAGCCCGCGAGGTGTCAGGGAGGGCTGGACCGGCTCTCACCGGCCACCAGGTCACCAGTAGGGCGCTTCTGCTGGTAACTTTATCATTGGCGCGCAGAGGGTCCTGACTTCCCCAAGGGCTCGATGCACCTGTCTCTAAGGTCCAGATTTTCTTCCGGGCCCTCTGGTCGCGCTCCCCTGAGAGAAGTCTCGCTTGCTGGACAGTTAGGAAGCCGGTTCCTCTCTCTCGTGATCCGTGCACTACTCCGTTCTCCCATGCGCGTCTGCTCCGGCCTTTGGCCATCCACACTGCAGGACACGGCCTGCAGGGCCTGGGGGTGGGGGCGGACGGGGTGAGAACGGCATTTGCCCGCACGGTGGCCCCATCTGTCTGCCGGAAGACAGATCCCGCTTGGTAAACACACAAGCACAATTCTCCCAGGGCCCTGCCATGTATTCGTTCTGAAAAACCGTTACTGCGGGTTCAAGGTTCAGAGACTAAGGTGAAGAACTAAAAATCAGGACTTGGAAACAGTATCTAACAAGGTTGAAACCCAAAAGCCCAAATTTTCAGAGCATCTGATAACAGTAACAATGGATAATTCTACACACACCCTTCCGTGGGAATAGAGCATGGGGATCTGGGCAGTGTCCTCCCACAGCACGCAGGGAACATCACGCCGGGAACATCACGCCACACATCTGGTAGTTCACCAGCCCTTACCTCACAATGCACCCAGTTAGAAAGGGGATGTCCTGTCATAAACATGTTATATTGAGATAAGCCTGCAACTTGCCTTGTTTTTCGCTTCATGGTTCTGATCTGCATGCACTTTTCTAAGGCACAGAACAAGCTCAGAAATTGTGCTAAAAATAGTTGTGTTGGGCAACATCTATCAGCAGATGCAGTTTGTCCCACGGGATTCATCGTAACACCTCAGAGATGGGTCAACAAACTACTACTTAGCGTGCCACCTGTTTTTATACAGCCCCTGAGCTAAGTCTGGTTTCTACATTTTTAAAGGATTGAAAAAAAATCAAAAGAAGATTTTTTTGTGACATGAAATTCATATTTCAGTCCATGAGTAAAGCCATGTTTATGTCTTACATATTGTTTCTGACCGCTTTTGTGTTCAAAGAGCAAACAAATTCAGTGGTTGTGACAGGACCGTACGGCCTACAAAACCTAAAATATTTACTGTCTGGCCCTTTACAGAAGAAAGTTTGGCAATTCTGCCTCAGAACCCTATGAGGGTGTCTACTGGCCAAACTATTTGTTGAATGTACCTCTCCTAATCTTTAAAGTGAAAAATGATGCTGACAAATGCAGGAAAGGAGACAGGACAGATTCACTTTTAGCTATGCTGATTTTATGGACAGTAAACTTGGAGACATCTGCTTTTTAATTTATCAGTGCCATGAATAATCCAAGGAAAAATCTTTTTCCAGGCTAATAAATTTAACTGTTATAGTTTTTGTTTGTTTCTTTTTTGTTTTATATTCTATCTGTGGGTGAAATCATATGGTTTTTGTCCTTTTGTTGGACTTATTTCACTTAGCATAATATGTTCAAGGTCCATCCATGTTGTCACAAATAGCAATATTTCATATTTTTTATGGCTGAGTAGTATCTCGTTATACATATATACACTACATCTTCTTTATCCATTCATCTGTTGATGGACCCTTAGGGTCTTCCCATATTTTGGCTACTGTGTATAATGCTGCAATGAACACAAGGATGCAGATATCTTTTTGAATTAGTGTTTTCATATTCTTTTGATAAATACCCATAGAAGGAATTGCTGGATCATATGGTAATTCTATTCTTAATTTTTCAAGGATCCTCTACACTGTTTTCCATAGTGGCTGCACCAATTTATAATCTCACAAATACTGTACAAGAGTTCGCTTTTCTTTACATCCTCTCCAAAATCAAACTGAAAAGCTCTGCACAGAAAAGAAAACTATCAACAAAACAAAAAGGTAACCAACTGAATGAGAGAAGATATTTGCAAGTGATATATACGATAAGGGGTTAATACCAAAATATATAAATAACCCGCACAACTCAACAACAAAAAAACCAAGCAACCCAATTAAAAAATTGGCAGAGAAACTGAATAGACATTTTTTAAAGCAAGACATACACATGACCAACAATCACATGAAAAGATGTTCAATATCACTAATTATTAGGGAACTACAAACCCAAACTACTTAAAGAACAAAGTAAACAAACAAAACAGAAACAGACAAATAGATACAGAGAACAAACTGATGGTTGCCAGAGGGGAGGGGGCTTGGGTAGCTGAGTGAAAAACATGAAGAATGTAAGAAGTACACAGTAGTAGTTACAAAATAGTCACGGGTATGTAAAGTACAGTATAGGGAACAGAGTTAATAATACTGTAATAACTATGTATGGTGTCAGGTGGATACTAAATCAGGGAGATCACAAATTATTTAACTATCTAACCACTATGCGTACTCCTGAAACTAATATAAAATAATACTGAATGTCAACTGTAACTGCAAAGAAAAAGAGAAGTAATCTAAAAAAATTAAGAGACCACAATGAAATACCACCCCACACCTGTTAGAGTGAATGGCTATCATCAAAAAGACAAGAAGTAACAAGTGTTGGCGAGGCTGTAGGAGGGATACTTTTATCAGAATGTCTTTCTTTTGGGACATCTGAAAGAGGATGGCCCCAAATAAATATCCATAGAAGAAACTAGAGAGAAAGAGGGCTAGAGCTGCACCTCTCCAACCTGAACGAGCCCATGAACCACCTGGAGGTCCTGTTATACTATAATGCAGGCTCTGAGTTATTAGATCTGGAGAGTGAGGTTGGGTAGAGCTGAGAGTTTTCATTCCTAACAAGCTCCCAGGTGGCGCTGCTGGTCATAGGACCACACTTTGAGTAACAGGGAACTGAAGCATAGAGTCTCGGAAGGCTTAGGTGGAGGTACCACTTTCAACAAGCCCCTTGAGCTCCAGGTGGAAGGGGATGAGGCAACAAGAAGAAAGGACTCAGGGCAATCAAGGGATGAGAAAGATCAGCTTGACTCAGTTTTGCTTAAGGCGGTTCTTTCCTGGGCAAAGAAGAACAGATAGATAAATAGATGTTTAAGATTTTCTATATTATTTTATATTTTTGATTTTATACTTTATACATATTTTTTAAATGTGTAGATTGTTTTTTTGTTTTGTTTTTTGTTTGTTTGGTTTTTTTTTTAGCTGAGCCATCCTGCCACCTGTTGGCAGCTCAGCGGCTGCTCAGCTCGGGTCGGGACTCGAACCGCTGTTGCTCAGAGCTCACACTCTTGAGTGAGCTCTTAACCAACTGAGCCACTCAGCTGGCCCTTAAATGTGTAGATTGTAATTTCTCACATAATACAAATCCTGTGGAATGGTGATCTACTTGTTGGTTCTTTCTTAAAAATGTATTTTATTTTTATTAGTTTCAGGTGTACAAAGCAACGTAATAGTTAGACATTTAAAACTCTCATAAAGTGATAACCCACCCCCCAAGCTACTACCCCTCTGACATCTTACGTAGCTGTTACAATACCCTTGACTATCTTCCTTACATTGTACTCTGCATCTCATAACTATATATACCTATATATTTAGTTATAGTTGACAGTCAATATTATTCTAGTTCAGCTATTCAGGTGTATAGCGCATTGGTCAGGCATCTACACAGTCTATGACGCGATCCCCCTGATAAGTCCAGTGCCTATCTGGCACCTTACATGATATTTACAACATTGTTGATTATATTCCCTATACTGTAGTTTAACTATCAATTTGTACTTCTTAATGCCTTCACCTTTATCACCCTACTCCCAACCGTGTTCCCATCTATCACCTTGACAGATCTAATAGCTATTACAATATTATTGACTATATTCCTTATGCTATACTCTACATCCTCACTACTATTGTATAACAACCAATTTGTACTTCATTTAAAAAATTTTTTTTTGTTTTTTATTTTTTAGCTGAGCCATCCTGCCACCTGTTGGCAGCTCAGCTCAGGCCGGGTATCAACAATTTGTACTTCTTAATCCCTTTCCCTTTCACCCATCCTTATTTCCCCTCCCAGCTTAAAGAAGTCCCTCTAAGATTCTTTGTAATACTGGTTTGTCTGGGAAGCTCTGTATCTGTCCTTTAATTCTAAATGACAGCTTTGCTGGGTAGAGCAATCTTGGTTGTATGTCCTTGCTTTTCATCACTTGGAATATTTCCTGGCAATCCCTTCTTGCCTGCAAAGTTTCTGTTGAGAAATCAGCTGACAGTCTTATGGGAACTCCCTTGTAGGTAACTAACTGTTTTTCTCTTGCTGCTTTTTATTGATTCTCTTTCTATTAACTTTTGCCATTTTAATTGTGATGTGTCTTGGTGTTGGCCTCCTTGGGTTTATCTTGTTTGGGATTCTCTGTGCTTCTTGGGCTTGTATGTCCATTTCCTTCACCAGGAGGGAAGCTTTCTGTCATTATTTCTTCAAATAGGTTTTCAATTCCTTGCTCTCTTTCTTCTCCTCCTGGTACCCCTATAATGTGAATGTTGGTCTACTTGATATTGTCCCAGAGGCCCCTTAAGCTCTCCTCAAATTTTTATATTCTTTTTTCTTTTTGCTGTTCTAGCTGGGTGTTTTCTGCTACCTTATCTTCTACATCGCTGGTTGGATCCTCTGCTTTATCTAATCTACTATTGATTCCCTGTAATATAATATATTCTTTGTTTCCATTATTGTATTTTTTATTTAGGACTGGTTCTTTTTCATGGTTTCCATCTCCATTTGTATGCTTCCTATCTCTGTTGAAGTTCTCCCTGAGATCATTGGGCATCCTTATAACCAGTGTTAGGAATTCTGCATCTGACAGATTGCTTCTCTCCATTTCGCTTAGTTCTTTTTCTGGAGCTTTGTTCTGTTCTTTTATTTGGGACATGTTTCTGTGTCCCCCCATTTTGGCTGCCTCCCTGTGTTTGTTTTTATCTATTAGGTAGGGCTGCTATGTCTTCTGGTCTTAGTAGAGTGACCTTAG